GACTGAGGTGCCAGGGCAGAGGCAGCACTGCACAGCCTCACCAGCCTCTCTGCCCCCTTGTTTCAGCGTGAGTGCATCTCCATCCATGTGGGCCAGGCGGGTGTGCAGATAGGCAACGCCTGCTGGGAGCTGTACTGCCTGGAGCACGGCATCCAGCCTGATGGCCAGATGCCCAGCGACAAGACCATCGGCGGCGGAGACGACTCCTTCAACACCTTCTTCAGTGAGACCGGGGCGGGCAAGCACGTGCCCAGGGCCGTGTTCGTGGACCTGGAGCCCACGGTGGTTGGTGGGTTGGGCAGATTTGGAAGCAATCAATTACTTATTTTAGTAATAATATTTTACTATTAGGATCAATAACTACTAAATCTAATTACTGAAATACTTAGTAGTATTAATACTGAGTGACAGAAATACTACAACCATGCAAACCATCTTTCAAGGCTTTTACATTTGCACTGCAGTCATAATCGATTAAATTGAAGGCAATAAAAGCACCACTTCACCAACATTCAAAGGACTGCAGATCTGCTGAAGAACTTACACAAATCTTTTGACTACTTGCTTAGTTAAACTTTTTCAGCACTTCATGGATTTAGTCATCTCTTGGTTTGTCTAACTTCACTGACCACAGAATGAAGATGGGTAGGAAATTACAGAAGCGGGTGGCAGGAGCTTGCAGGACTGCCTGGCAGTAGCATTAACAGGCTGAACTAGCAATACTGGAGAGGAGGTCTGCACCAAAACTGAGCTTGTAAAATGCTTATGTAAAGCATGCTAGTTAAAATGAAAACTATGTAGAAATCCAGGTTATACAGCATATTAGTGGTAGAGTTGGTCTGAAAGTAAGGGCTGACACTGAGCAGCTGCAGGGTGGGGTGGGTGAGAAGTGACTGGGGCTGTAGGCTGCTGTGCAGATGGCACAGACTAACACAGAGCTGTGTGCAGATGAGGTTCGCACGGGGACCTACCGGCAGCTGTTCCACCCTGAGCAGCTCATCACTGGCAAGGAGGATGCAGCAAACAACTACGCCCGTGGGCATTACACCATCGGCAAGGAGATTGTGGACCTGGTGCTGGATCGCATCCGCAAGCTGGTGAGCTGCTGACTGCCTGTCCTGTCGAGGGGGTACGGAACTTGGCATTTGGGTCACCACTTCCAAAACACAATGATGTGTATCCTGGTTCCCTGTAACTGAGTTGTGTAGTAATACCCTGTGGCCCTAAAACACAATGGTCTGTCCTGTCCTGTGTCCTGCAGTCTGACCAGTGCACGGGCCTGCAGGGTTTCCTCATCTTCCATAGCTTTGGAGGCGGAACTGGCTCTGGGTTTGCCTCTCTGCTCATGGAGAGGCTGTCTGTGGACTACGGGAAGAAGTCCAAGCTGGAGTTTGCCATCTACCCTGCGCCCCAGGTACACCCCTCCGTGCTCTTCCACACGGCTTGTCACAACCTCCACATGTGTGAAATACAAGGCATAGTGTTCCACAGATGAACCTCTTAAAGCTGGGGGGAGGGGAGGGGACCCATGAGTGAGAACTTTAATCCAAAACTGTTCTCGTTCAGCGATGTTTGTATCTGAAGCCGTCACAAACCTAGGAGCTGCGCTGTGTGCTAAATTCCTTGCTCTTTCTGACAGGTGTCCACCGCTGTTGTGGAGCCGTACAACTCCATCCTGACCACCCACACCACCCTGGAGCACTCGGACTGCGCGTTTATGGTGGACAATGAGGCAATCTATGATATCTGCCGCCGTAACCTGGATATCGAACGGCCTACCTACACCAACCTCAACCGCCTGATTGGCCAGATTGTGTCTTCCATCACTGCATCCTTGCGCTTTGACGGTGCTCTCAATGTGGATCTGACAGAGTTCCAGACCAATCTCGTCCCTTACCCTCGCATCCACTTCCCCCTGGTCACCTACGCCCCTGTCATTTCCGCTGAAAAAGCCTACCATGAGCAGCTCTCCGTGGCCGAGATCACCAACGCCTGCTTCGAGCCTGCCAATCAGATGGTGAAGTGTGACCCCCGCCATGGCAAGTACATGGCCTGCTGCATGCTGTACCGTGGGGATGTGGTGCCCAAAGACGTCAATGCTGCCATCGCCACCATCAAGACCAAGAGAACCATCCAGTTTGTGGACTGGTGTCCCACTGGCTTCAAGGTAAAGTCACCTGGGCTCCTAACCTGGCTTTCCTGGAACAGGGTACAGGAGGTGGAGAAACTGCTTGCAGTTGATCAGCCAGGTACTGTACTTGTGCTGACTTCTTCTTTATACCAGAATTTTAAAGGAAGCATCTTACTGTTTCAATCTGGCTTTAGCCTGGTACTTGTGGATTAAGGCTGTATGATGCATAATCATGATCCCACAAGTAAAATTGAATACATATTCTGGGCTACGTTTTGTTACAGCACTCGTACTGTGGTAATTTACAAATTGCCACAATCTGCCTGTTTCTCGTGACACTGCACGCAGCACTGCCAGGCTTGTTGGGGCTCTTTGAAAACGAAAGTGCTTTTTCCATTAACAGTTCAGTTCTTCACTGCAGCTGATGGCTTTCTGACCAGGAGCATTTCTCTCTGAACAGGTTGGCATCAACTACCAGCCGCCCACAGTGGTGCCGGGGGGTGATCTGGCCAAGGTGCAGCGGGCTGTGTGCATGTTGAGCAATACCACTGCTATAGCGGAGGCCTGGGCGCGCCTGGATCACAAGTTCGACCTGATGTACGCTAAGCGGGCATTTGTCCACTGGTATGTGGGTGAGGGCATGGAAGAGGGGGAGTTCTCGGAGGCGCGGGAGGACCTGGCAGCGCTGGAGAAGGATTATGAGGAGGTGGGCGTCGATTCTGTGGAGGGAGAGGCTGAGGAAGGAGAGGAGCTGTGAGACCCAATGGATGCCAAAACCTGCTGTGAAACCTGTTCACGTTCCAATAAAGAATTTTATCATTTCATTCTGTTATCAAGTTATTTTCCAAACATTAAAATGAGTTTGTATATAAATCAGCCACTTTGATGCAAGAATGAAGACTTTTAACAACAAAAGTGTGTGGGCAGGAAATGTTTTTATTGCACTTGGAGGCTTTATAGTGTGTGTGTGAGGGGTACTTGAGTGAAACAGTCTTGAGACAGTTCCCTTTTCCCCAGATCCTTTCCACGTACAGCAGAGGGTTAGCGTTGCTCTAGTGTGCTGAAGGACTCCTTACGCAGCCTGAGACTGAAGTCTGCTCTGTAGTTGTAAAGATCGTATCGCAGCCCACACTTGGACAGGCCCACCTGCCAGTTCTGCTGAGACTGGCTCAACAGATTGCAAACAAACAGTAACGGAAGACTAACTCTCCACTGCAAATTTCTAGCTAAAGGTGGAAATGTTCATATTTAAAATGACAAATAGCCAAGACTAACGGGAACATGTCTGGCAAGTGTCTAGGCTAGACATGGCATGGTTGGGCATCGCTGTAATTCAATTATTTCTTGTAAACCAGGTTATTGATCTCGGATGTAGCTGGGTCGCTTGTGGGAGTCCAGGACCTTCTGTCTAAAATGTTTCAAATGTTTTTTTTTCTCTGGTTTAATTTTTGATTGATGGTCATTGGGTGACTCAATTCCTTTCAGAATTGTGAACATTTGTCTCTAAAAATACCTCAGTCAGAACTAAAAATGTTCAGTTTCATCTGTAGAACAGTCCTTAAACCCTAGAGTGTATGTAATAGGGAAATCGAATTAGAATTGTGGAAACCATGACAAATGAAACATCCAAATTCAGCTTCTGAACCTTCTAACAACTTACTATGAAAACTGGAACTTGAATACACCCTTGGTACTACAGACAGCACTGAATGCTGGCGCTTGTTTTCTAATCCTGGCCACTGTTACCCTCAGAATGCCATACCACTGATGTATTGTGAAGGTGCTAGAAATGCAAATAGAAGGATAACATCCTCAATATGTCTAGAATAATTCACATTTTAAAGGAGCACCAGGACTGCTTCTGCTTTTGGTTGCACTCGTACCAGAAATGGGAGAATTCCAGAAATTGTCCAAGTACAGATTACACAAGATAATTAAGCTATTAACATTAACATTAGTCACTGCTTGTGACTTCATATGACAATGCTGTTGCTCACAGAAAATCACAGAAAGTAGATTTCATGCCACTGTATGTGTTTAGGCAGCAAGATCTGAACAAAAATGTGTTTTCTTCAGTTTTCAATTTGCTGTATTGATTTGTGTCCACAGAAGCAACACAAAAGCACAAGAGCACAGCTCATTGATTTAAAACAACCTTTTACATTTTGGTTGTTTTTGGAAATTTATTCTGTTCCACAGATTGCCATGTAATCCGTAATTCACCAAAAAATAAAAATGTTTCCTGGGTTTAGTTTTGTAAACATTACAAAATGGTGAATTACTGTTTTTGTCTTCAGGTTTAAGAATTAGGATAAGCAGAACTTTCATTCAGGTTTAAGAATTAGGATAAGCAGAACTTTCATTCAGAGACCAAATAACATTTAAATGAAAAAAAAAATATATATTTGTACAACCAAGTGTAATAGTTGGCAAAGAGCTCTGTCTCCCAGGAGTGCTACCAGTTTCCACCCCTGTTTGTTCACAGCAGGGTGGAGCCCTGGTGCAGCAGCAACCACTCAGTCAAACCCTTGATAAACTGGAATTGCACAGTGATTTGGCAAGATGTGTAAACACTAAGGAATTTAATCATGGTAAAACCTTATATAAAATTACTCCATGTGCTGTAGGTAAAAACAGTTCATATTCAGTTATACACTTCTGAAAATACATGTAATAAAT